TTAACAGTTAGGGTCCTGTGCTTCTCTTCCCCACCTAATTCTTTTTTCTCCAAAAACATCACTGGGTCCATTGTTGCCTAAAATGGCAGCACATGGGCAGCACATGGATGTGGACTTTGTACTCCAGCTCTATCCAGAACAAAATCGACCCAGAATACAACCTGCTGAGTGCAATTTTTGCAAGCATTCAATACACCCACAAGTGTGCAAGAATGCCTCTGGTGAAAAGCCTGAAAACTATGGCCAGATCTTTGCTAAAGTAAGAGGAGAATGTTCTGCATAATGCCCAAACAAGCTAACATATTCTCAGTGCCCAAGCCATATGGGTATTGCTGATCCCATGCATAGAGGTTTCAAGTGGTTGACACACCCTCCTCTGCAAGCCATGCAAGAAGCACTGCAAAGCACCTCCTATGTACACTGCACCAATCTTCCTGTTACTCCAACTGCCACCCCCCCTCTTCCAGCAAATGCTGGTGCTGGTGCATGCCCAGAAGCTGGGTGCAAGGGAAGGAGGAAGCAAGGGTGCTACTTTGGTCACTGCAGGGCACACTGCCAGAAGCAGCAGCACATTCATGGCATTGTATGTGAAGTGCAGAAGCATCCAATCACCCAGATTCTCCCCCTCACCTTCTCTGACCCAGCAATCAGTCCTGCCTCACCTGGAATCATGCCTGTGAATTCAGGGATCCCCACTCTAACTCAACCTACACTGGCTTATCATGTCCCAACCACACTTGGCACTCATGTCAATAATCTGGGCTTTCTTGGGCATTCAGGTGCCACCAAGACACCCTTGCATGCCCAGCGTCAGCAGGAAGATGAGGAGGCTTGCAATGATGGTCAGATGTTAGCCCATTGCTTCTCTGTGGTTGGAATCCAAGAGGTTAGCCAGTACCTAATACTTGTAAGGGATCTACTGACTTGACTCCAGGATGACACCACTTGATATGATGGACTGGTTGCTTCCCTAAGTACTCAGGGTCTCACCACATGCATCAACAAATGGCCCAGCAACCTCCAGAAAACTCTGCAAACTGAGTACCCTGATCAAGATTTTCTGAAAGTCTATCTCCCATCTACAGGGTGCTGGGCCATTTATCAGCATGATGCAACAATGGAGATCAAGAGGGAGGAAGTGATTTTTTTTTACCATGCTGGCCTCAGGAAGACTGCCCCAGCTATCAAGGCTGCCATTGAAGAGCATGCACCAACTCAGCTGCCACAGGACATACACCGTGGAACCTTGTCAGCCTTCTCAACCCCACAGAAATTGACTTGCCCAACACCTGCAGCAAGCCCTGCCACTGAAGTTGAGGAGGTATCTCCGGTGAAGCTACCAGGAATGGCTGGGAAGAGGAAGAAGAGAAGCAGCCAAAGTGGCAGTGAGCCAGAAGTTTTAATAAAGCAGGAATTTGACCTCAATGTGTGTATCAAGCAGGATATCCTTCAGCCACCTTGAAATCATCCCCAAAGAAGGCCTGTGGACACCCAGCCAAGTGGCCTGGTTTGCAGACATTCAGGGAGATTAAGGGACAGATTGAGGAGGTCAGGGAGAGGGTGAAAAACAGAGAATTGCTCTCTGCAGCACAGGTTTCAGTTATAGGATATACTGTGCCTTCAACTACCTGGTCAGACAATGCATGGTGGCTGGAGGTTGCTAATCCTACTACTCTTGCTTCATTCATGCAGAATGATTCACAAGACTGGATTACCTTTTGTGCTGCTGCTAGGGAAGAAGCAAGCCTCAGGAACAATGCCAAGTAGAGCTGAGCAACTTGATATCCATATGTTTTTAACCTATGACATTATGACACTAATGCTATGATATGCTATGCCATGCTGGTTTTAGTCCATTCAACAACAAAGACCTATCCATAAGGTAGGGAAGTGCATTATTGTGTAGCAGCTCCTCAACATGAAAGCAGTTGTGGGCCTTGATAACCTCATCAAGGAAAAACTCATATCTCACTGGCAACATTTCTTGCACTATTCCATCAAAATTCCCCAACCATGCATTGGTTTGCTCACATGCAGAGGAATTGAAAGTCCACTGGCCAGATTGTTGGTTGTAGAGCTGAGGGAAGGCCATTGGATTGCAATGGGTGGAGCAGTACTGGTCAGCAGTGGAGTGATGGTTCTTGAAATGGAAAATATCTACCACCAGTGCAGTTTTGCTGAAATGTTCTTGAATGGGTCCTTGTCCTGAAAGATACTGGTGGAGGTGACAGTTGTTGTCATAGAACATGACATCTGGCATTGCCTGGGGGGGGGGGGAAACACCACAAATGAATTCCTGAAGAAGATCTATAAAGGGATGTTTTAAGTAAGAAAAAAAATACTCACTGCTACAGAGGAAAGTGACTTGGCCCCATAGAAAGTGCCCCTGGCCACAATGACCCCACAAGGACACACATAGAGTTGCTCATTGTGCATCCTTCTCCTGCCAAAGTGGGCCTTGAGCCCAGGTGCCTTCTTCCTCCCTCCACAGTAGCTGCTGGTATTGGGGACATCAGGTGTGTCCCCTTCTCAAGAATAAGACTTGGCACATTGGTGTTGATCTTGCAGCTGAAGTGCAGACTGGCCAGCAGCATAGTAATTTTCTTCCAGCAAACAATGTTCAGGATTGGAGCAGGTCTTCCTACCAGGCTCTGCTCCATTATTACAGCCTTCCACTGCACAGCTTCCTCCCTGCCTGTGTGAAGTGGGCAATACCATGCATGGTTGGAAGAGAGGGGGATGGTGCAGCTGTGGACTCCACAGCAAGGGCGCCCAATTGAAACTCCATCAGTGACAGCACAAGATGACATGTCTGGATACTTCTGTAAGTGATGAGATCCCCTCATCAAAGAGTAAACTCACATTGCTCTCCATTATGGTCAAAGAACTTTCTGCAAAGGTTGCAAGAGTGTGACCAGTGCTCTTGCCCATTTGCTGCCATGAAGATGTTTCTCTCTATCATGGCAGCAGTGAGTCAATCACTATGGCTGCTGGCCATGTCAGGGAGAGTGAGCTGGGTGCCTTGCTCAGAATGGTGGAGGAGGAGTGAGTAGAGGTCAAAGAGATCAGAGAGGTATTCACTATGCAGGTGAGCTCCCAGTATTGTGAGTCTGGGTCCTTCCCAATGAATCATGAAATACTCTTGCTGTGGTTCCTGCTGAAGCACTGTGAAGGGATTAGTCTGAGAATGTTTTCTGGATATGTACTCACTGTGATAGAACAGTATATGAGCGGAAGAGGCCACAAAGTCCCTCCTCAAATAGGAGATGCTTCTCAGATTGGAGCACAGGTGGCATCCCTCCATAGTAAATTCAACACATTCCTTTACCAGGGGCTTCTTGGTGTGAGTAATCAAGGTGATATCTGGTGTTACAATGGCAACACTTGAGAGAGTTGACTGTGACAGGGAAAGCACCATGGTTGAGGGTGTAGAGAGCAGCTGTATATCACTGTGGATCATACAGTGCTGCTGCCTCAGAGGTGTGAACAAAGTGGGGACAGTGGAGATTGAGGCAGGTGCATGTTGGGGGATAGAATTCTTCAGTACCTTGTAATTGATGTCAGCCTATTCCTGTGGAGAGTGATTGGAAAAGTACTTACTGAGTTCAGTAAGGTGTGCATAGGCCTGAAAGGGTGTGAAATCATCCAACAATGGTTGAGTGAGGGCTGTGACGTCTCTGGCAGGATTCCAAAGGACCTGGTTGAGAGATTGCCAAAGTGCCATGATTTGAGCATCCTGCAAGTCAAGCACCTGACTCAGGAAAGACACCACAAAAGACACCACAGTGTTGGGAAGAGTAAGAGGAGGAGTTGCTGGTTGGGTGAGTGTATGGACTTCCTGCCAGGCAACTCTTGTTTGAAGACATTGAGCTAAAGCCAAGAATGACAACATTTGCTCCACAGAGACACCATGTTAGGGCAACACAGGCTGACTAAGTCTGCTCACCTAAGAGTGCCAAGAGTCTAAGCAGGCAACAAGGAAGTGGAGTAGACCTGATGACTAAGACCTATCTACAGTATAGGTATCTGTGGATGATCCTAAGAGACCAAGTCTGAAGAGACAGTCCCAGGCAGAGTAGGCCTTATATTTATACCTCTGTGGTGGAACCTGCTAGAACATCTTGCTTACTCAGCCTAGTCAGGTGATCAGGTCATATGACCAAGGATGAGGTCATATGAGGTCATGCACAGCCATGCACAGCAGGTCACCTGACC